GGCGCATTGTGGGGGGTAAAGCGGTGGCCGCTTGTGGGGGGTAAGGCGGTGGCGGATTGTGGGGGGTAAGGCGGTGGCGGATTGTGGGAGGTAAGGCGGTGGCGGATTGTGGGGGGTAAAGCGGTGGCGGATTGTGGGGGGTAAAGCAGTGGCCGACTGTGGGGGGTAAAGCGGTGGCCGACTGTGGGGGGTAAGGCGGTGGCCGACTGTGGGGGGTAAGGCGGTGGCGGATTGTGGGGTGTAAAGCGGTGGCGGACTGTGGGGGGTAAAGCAGTGGCCGACTGTGGGGGGGTAAAGCGGTGGCCGACTGTGGGGGGTAAAGCGGTGGCGGATTGTGGGGGGTAAGGCGGTGGCCGACTGTGGGGGGTAAGGCGGTGGCGGATTGTGGGGTGTAAAGCGGTGGCGGACTGTGGGGGGTAAAGCAGTGGCCGACTGTGGGTGGTAAAGCGGTGGCCGACTGTGGGGGGTAAGGCGGTGGCCGACTGTGGGGGGTAAAGCGGTGGCGGATTGTGGGGGGTAAGGCGGTGGCGGATTGTGGGGGGTAAGGCGGTGGCGGATTGTGGGGGGTAAAGCGGTGGCGGATTGTGGGGGGTAAAGCTGTGCCGACTGTGGGGGGTAAAGCGGTGGCCGTGCGCAGGGCCAAGGGGTGCCCCATCTCTGTGAACGGGGCAGGAAGCCATCGGATGTTTTCAATCCCAGCCGGTGACGATCCTCGTTAGCCTGAGACTTAAAGCATGCACTGCCAAAGGTAGAAGTGGAACGGTGAAAATTGCATCAGCGGAATCACCGAGCAAAATAACTAAAATATGCTACTCGAGTCAAATTATCCCATAATATCCGGTTGTGACGGGGTTGTTGCAACTCGTTTCCATTGGCAGCTCTGAAAATCGGGTGTAAAAATACACATTTTCACCGTTGATTCAACCATCAATCAGTATTGGAACTTTCAACCTTCCGAGGAGTTACATTATCCACGGACAGTGCCACTAAAACCACAGCAAAATACAATTTAGATGTCAATCAATTTTAGCGTAGCTCCACTTTGAGGATTACATGTTGCAGTTTTCCAAGCAATATTCACTCTTAAGAAAGCATAGAAGTGCACCATCTGGTATTCAGCCAAAGATCACTACTAAAGCGAATTTGAGTGCTCTTATCAGTGTCTCCTGGCAATGAAACTTAAATTGCAAAAGAACGCAATTTCAATTGCAAACAATGAGCCAGTGCAGGTTGCCCAATGAGTTCAGCACACCTACATTTTACGAATGTTCTTGCCTGTCAAAACACAAGTTATGCTTCTGCCACCAAAGAGCTGCTCGCAGCATACCAGCACAACGGAGAGGTAATGAAGCACTCCCCTACACACACCGATCCACCCATGGCATGTGAATGGCACAAAGGAGAACAGCTTGTACACACTACACCACACGTACGTAATTTTGGGCCGCACGATGCCACAGGTCAGCCACAGGTCAGCCCCGGTTGAGCAATGTGCTGGCGACACATGGGTAAGTATTTGAGATGGGGCGGTGCTCATCTGCTGGTGTGGTGTAAATTCACCATCCTCGTGGCAGGGCCAGTTGATCAACGGGACAACCATTGCCGACTTCCCACAGGCACACTCATATTATTGACCCCCCGCCCCACCCCCCACATGGACTGGCTTGGATGAACCCGGACTTCAATGTGCAGCGTTCCAAAAAAGCAGCACCGCCCAACTAGACCCGTGCTTAGAAACTTAGTTCTGGCACAAACCCAGATTCACAAATACGGATATACTGTAGTATGAAACAAAAATTTGTAGTAAAAAAAAAGATCAGCATTAAGAATGTTCTGGAAGGAGAGCGCAAGACCACTTTTAGAAACTAAAAAAAACAATGTTTCATACGTCCTAATCAAGGACCAGAACAAACATGTTAGGAATGTAAAAATTGGGCAGTAAATAAGCATAAGGTAATATTCTGATATGAAACGGAAGTTGGCAAGTGAGGGATGTGAATATCGCTTTAAAAAGCTGTAAATCAGTGCTGGATCTATGTAACCAAGTGCCTAAAGAAGTGGGGTTGGTGGATCACACACAAATCATCGTGTGCTTGGAAATTCCTTAACCTGCTGGGCCACTAGATGGCAGGTGACAGTACAGAAAGTGAACTCATGAAACATTTTTGCAGAACTTTCAGCGTAATCTGCTTGCATGATGTCGTCTCTAGGTAATCTAATCTGGCTTTCTTCTCACATGCAAAGCAAAACCGAGTAAAAATGAATGTGGCAAACATCTCGGTGTAGAAACATTTAAAAAAAGTGTCTTGGGACTCGGTGAGGCTTTTGCTGGTTAAATAAAGAACTATTTTTATTTTTATTTCAAACCGAATGCTCGTCCTTGGCGCGTTTGACGCATAAAGACGCGCTTATCTCTGTCCGCTCGGCCGCGACAGAGTTTCCCCTTGCGTAGACGAACACGCACACCTGGGGTCTGAAAAGCAGCCTCCCAGAGGTAAATTCCCACAGAAGCGCAGCCTCGGGTCCCTGCAACTTCAGGGAGAGAACCGACACCTGCGGGCATGACGACTGCTGCTATGGCAAAACCCAGCGCTGGCCAGCCGGCGTTTCTGACGAAGAGGGATAAGCTTCCAAAGAAATAAACGCCTCTAAAACGAACAAAACACATACATCGACTGTACAAATCAAACAACATTTTAAACAGGTACCATTCTATGTTCATTATGTCACGTTCCAAAACAACAAGGATAGCAAATAATTTGAAGGTCGAAGCTAAAGCCCTGGGAGTGGAGTCAAACAAACATTGGCATTTCCCTTCAGGTGTGTTGGTACTAAGCTTAGCGTATTTTCTGTGGGATGCATGGATGCCTGGTGAATTCATAAATGGGAGTTATTATTTGGTCGCGAAGGCATCCCACCTGCTCAAATAAGCATGTTGCAGTGCGATGGCTATCCCACATTTCCAGACAGGAGTCATTCTCTGGGTAGGATGACCACTGTTGACTTCCCACTTATGCTGCTTATGTTATTGAACTTCAAAGGGCCGAATTAACTCTCAAGGAACTTTTTGATAAAGTCAAGCAGTCTAACCAAAGCACGATTGTGGATGGCTAGATGCTAGAAGAAGCCGAGCACCACTGCGTACAACCAGGTCACACATTCAAAATTACATTCAGGACTCGACTTGGTCCTTCGTAAAAATGACGACCAATTTGATAGAAGCCACCAGTGATTGTCCTACGGAAAGTGGTCTCTGTCGAAGGAATGTAGCATTTCTACCAGTGGCTGAGGGTTTTCAAGAGACATGAGTATTGCCAAATGCTAAATATGGAGCTGGTTGGAATTTTTTTACTTTGAGTCACCCAACAGCAACAAATATCAATTCTGCCCTCAACTTACAAATCAGAAGTGGGGTTCGGGGTTGTTTAATGTACTTCCTGGCCCCGCAAAGTTAGCACCACACTCATGAGCCTAGTGTAATGCATGGGTCAGATGAGACCACGAGAACAAGATTGAAAATCACTGCACCAACTCCACACACACCGACGTCCTACGCTAAAGCATTTGGCGATAGAAGCTGGAATCCAGCTCAATATTGCTGACAAAGCCATCATGTAGTCTCGTGTATTGCGGGTAATAAATAGGACTGATGTTTGCATCATCGCTGACATAAAATAACATTGAAGTCCACCGATGAAAAGGACTTACAGATCAACTATTTTTTTATATATATAGAGGCATGTGTTTAACCGAAGCAAACTATGCTCGTGGATGTATCTGGGTTTATAACGTCATGCAACCCCGAAGTATTTATCCATTGGACTGCACAGTGCCGATGGCTCAGGCAAAACCAAAACTAGCTCGGGATTTGCATTGTCGAAACAAGTGCCACTGGGAAACATTGGTTCAGAAAAGCATTTGGTTTGGTAGCCAACGCTGAGGTGTCGTCACAGCCAAAATCAGTATTACCACACCTTACCATCGTTTCCATTGTCTGCTAGATACCACAACCGTTGTGCAGCAATCAACCAACAACCGAGTCAACCTATAAATTCTGTATCCCACCATTTGGCTTCAGAGCTTTCCCCTTGGTCACCAACATCTGGGTACCACTCCAATGTCTGTCTCAATGATGCCTGGTCTCAATAACCTGCTCTCAATCCGGAGCTTTTTATATATACATAAAAACACCTTAATAAGTCGACTTCAATGTTACCTAAATTCAGCTGATAACTTCTCAACTTTAATTATTTAACATCACGGGGGTTGCCTTTGAACAAACCAATCTTACGTGAACAATGGCAGTAGGCAAGATGTAGGGGAGCTTACAACTAGGGCTCTATCTAACGATGAACTATGATTCTCAAGAATATTTCTCAGATAGCTCCTGCACTGGGGTGCATGGCCAATTAATGATTTAGCAATGTTTTTCATATTGGAGGATATTAGACCACCCAGAGAAAACTCGTTATAAAAGAAAGCTAAACTATTTTTTTTCATTTTACCATGTAAGGCCCACTGAGATATATAGCTCTTTTTCAGAAGTGACCTGGCCACAAATGATAGCTCAATGAAGAGGCTTATCACGTGGAAACATAGCAGCCAAATACTCTAAACGCATGTTTCTAAATGCGGAGGGAAAAAACGGAAGACCCGGAGGAAAATCCACGCGGCCACGGGGAAAACATGCAAAGTCCAAATATACAGCAGGCGTCAGGGCCAGGATCGAACCCACGACCTCCTGCATACCAGGGCGAGGTAGTTAACATCTCCTCGCCACCGTGGCATCACACACACATATCAGTGATGTACTAGACAGGGATCTGTATCGAATGAGGCAGTGACTCTATACTGGGTGCATTACTGTGGCTGGCAGTTAAGGGGACAGTCTGCACGATAAACACATTTTTACGACTCAAATTCCTTTTCTAGACGGCTTCAAAAGGACAAAAAATATATACAAATGATTGCAGCTCTAAATAAATCTTGGTGACTTCTTGTCAACGGCCGGATGCACGCGGATGAAAATGCGAGTTTTAATTAAGCACTACTCCCCTACTGAACACGTGGAAACTGCGCAACAGGGCGCCGAATTCTTTCAGCCATGTTGGATACAAATTAAAAATAAAAAGGCACAATTCACTCTTCCGCAGTAGTTTTTTTTTTACTTTTCATTTCCAAGATTTGAAAAACCCTGCTCAAAATAATCATTTGTTTGTAAAACGGCATCGAAAAGCCCACTTAAAAAAATATAATAACATTATTATAATATAAAAAAAATCATGCATTTTGTCAAAGACGTCGTCGGTTTTGAGTGCTTGTGTGAAGCTGGCACGATGAAAGTCAAACTGCTGTGCCCCAAAAACCCAAGTCGCATCAACCAACGCGTTCCACTCTCCCATGGGGCTTAGCAATAATTATTATTTTCTCCTGGACGCAAGTCCTGGTGAAGACCGGAGTAAAAATTAGAAACAATTTAACTGCCAAAGCCAAATTCAGCAACATTTCATTGTCGAATGAAACATAAAACAGGCAAATAAAATAAAAGTCCGAAAACCAAATGTTTTAAGATACTGGGTCAAGCTTTTACACCTACAGGGGATAATTTGGCACCGTGTGGCTGCGAAGATGTGGGATCCGGTTCCAAAACCTTTATGCAGAGACGGAGCGGTTCTGGGCGAGATGCGCCGGTGAAACGCAACTTCGGCAGGTTCCCGACAGAACCAACGGTGGCTGAAGAAATCGAAAACCCCCCCTCCTCCTCCGCGCGTGTGCTGCTGCAAATGAAATGAAGCACTCGCTCCAAAGCCTCGGCATTGAGGCCCCAACTGCCCAGAACAACGTTGGACTCGGTAACACTGCCGTGACACGGCACCACCAGTCGCAAGGCAAACTCCACAAGCACTTTCGCTTGGCCAGTACCGAAAGCCATGTGTTGGTCTCCCGACGGGCAAAGCTTTCTTCTTCTTCTTCGCAGTCATTATTTGATTCTTCTAGTCGTGCTGTTTTCCCTCCTTTTTTTGCCCCCCGATTGAAAATATTTTTTTCTTTGCTCCATTGTTGTGGCATTTTTCACTTCCGACTGAAAAAAACTCGGCGGTTGGGAGAGAGAGGAAAAGAGTCTTCCGCCCGCAAACGGATGCTCACCGTCCCCACCCGTTTTGTTTACTCGTCTCGTCCTCACTTTCTCTCGTTCCGTCGTCTGCGCCGAGACGTGCCGGGAGGGGGGTTGAGATGCCACCGTCCCCTTACTGGTTGTTTTTGGCCTTGGCGTGCGTGAGGATGTGCGACTTGAGGTTTGTTGACTGTGCAAACTTCTTGCTGCAGCCGTCGAAGGGGCAGACATACGGTCGGTCGCCTGTGTGGATGCGCACGTGCGTGCGCAGGTTGAAGTCCAGCGAGAAGCGCTTGCCACAGCCTTCGAACGTGCACTAGGTGGTAGGGGGGCACAGGGTGTGATAGGAGAGAAGGGGTGTTAGAAGGATGCAGAACACTGGCCTTCGTAAACAACCTCGGTTCTTGCAATCAATAGTGAGGCATTCATTCTATACTCCGATGCAACATTTATCTAGTATTCAGCTATGTGTTCAAAGAAAACCGAAAATTAAAAACAATTGATGTTCAGAAAAATATTCAGTTGGGAAAACCATTCATTATAAAAGTGACCACTTTGAAAGTCAATGGTTTGGTGTCTCTGCTCAAATGATGAAGGGGCAGCACTATGCCCACTGGTGGTCTCCCTGGCGAGTGATGGAAATTTTACATTCCGAATTTGGGAGAGGAATATTGTTGACTGTTGACTTTCCACAAAGCGGTACTCATGAGGATAATGGGTTATGCTGAAAACTGTTAAGGACTTTGAGGCGTAAAAAGGCTAAACATTGTGAGTGCATCGAATGGGTTCTAAAAATCCATATTTGTGGGTTTCCTCAAGTATTCCAGATTCCTTCCACTTGAAAAATGTTAATTCAATTGGCCCAACATCCCAATATAGAAGCCTCCTGAAAAAAGAGTCTAGAGACTTGGCGATACTTTCTTGAATAAACAGAATTTTTATTTCAACAAAATGTGTTTATTTCAATACAAATTTAACACGAAGACGTTCGCCCCCTTCACGTCAGTAAGATTAGAAGCTAGAGTAAAAATAATACAAATGTAATTTGTATCAAAGGAAAACGCTGAACCCAAGTTACATGCAAGATAGCGATTGCTTGAGACACTACCCCGCTGGTGGGAATAGCGAAGAGGAAAGAGGATGAGGGGATCCCGAATCGTGGAGATGACCCCAGGTCAGCCAAGCTCCGACTCGCGTTAAAGATACAACTGAAGAACACAGATGTTGTCTGTTGTAGTGGCAAAGGTGGGCTTTGTATACTGGGCTATTTCTGCAATGATTGTTTAACTTTGTTTTTTATATTCCGAGTGTAAAAATTTTACTTCCAGAGTGCCACAACAGCGCCGTCTAGTGATGGAATTGGCGTTCAACTGCCGGAGGTGTACTGCACTGCATCACTACATTACTGATACATAGTACTTCAGGAGTACAGCATTACCAATACATACACAATTAGTACGTATTGTGTACTGTGCTAATACTGGTGAATCTGACTGGTTATATAGGACACTAAATGATTCTATGACTCCCCAGACCATTGATGCACTGCAAATCTGCACACGAAGGCATCCATGCAACCTCACCACAAAGCTGTAGCCAACACCAGTACAGAATCAGAATTTTTATTTAGACCGGAAGAATCCGATGAGCTATGAAGCTCTTTTTCACAGATGTCCAGTATCAGCGGGTCAACAAGTTAACACAAATATATGTATTAATAACCTCAACACTAATAAATAGCATTAACATCAACCCATATCTTAAATAATAAACCCACAGTCTCAACACTAACCCACAGCATTAACAATGACCCACCACTTAAATAACCCACAACCTCAATGCTAACCCACGGCCCTCCTAGCTAACCCATACTTTCAACGCCGACTTGCAGCTTTAACTCTGACCTACAGCCTCAAAGCTAACCCATGGGCCTCAACACAAACCCACAACCTAAACATTGGGCCATGGTCTCACCAACCCACGGCCTCACCCACAGCTTGAACACTGACAATGGCCTAAAAAATAATCAACAATCTCAAAATTAACCATCTTTTCACCAGCAGAGAGCACCACGAGCCTGACTTTTCAGGGTCCAACAATGCATTGATTCACTGTTTCATTTAAATTGTTATACTTAACATTACATGCCTTGAATTGATTTGTGTAAACGGTTCACGTGACCCCTGTAGCCACTAGAGGTCACTACATTCACTGTAATGCGAAAAAACACATTCTTGCGAGGTCACATATAGTGCATTACGGGAGCCAGCATCCATTCATCTATGGAGCCCATTCCGCAGAGAATATAAAATATTTGTCTTGTTAGAAGCCAAGCTTCAAGTTTAATTTGTTTAACCAGGTAACATATCAAGAGACCAAGCTTGTCTCATTCGCAAATGTTGACCTGGGGCCACATCCGCCAGTAGTGGGTGACTGCTATGTATAATCCCAATTGAGACATTTGTGGGTGTTTGAACTTGGGTCCTTGATGCCGGGGACACAATCACCTACTCTTACAAAATGACACCAAGTGATATCTAATGCCCACTGAGAAGCGAACGGTGCATAGTATCATTAGGGTCATCACACCCCGCAATAATAAGGGCGGGCGGCCGCTAGTTTTCTAACCATGAACCTCTGCAACACAAGCGGCAAGTGCGCTATAGTGAAGGCCATGTCACCACCAGGGCATTTAGAGGTGAAATGAACTCCAATTTCAATAGATTTCAACTGACACACGGCCACGGGTTCGAGAATGATTGTAGATGAATATGAAACAGCAGGCTAGGGTTTATTTGGTTGAATCTTGTTCGCCGAGTTACTACATTATTTTCCCTGCCGTACAAGTTAGGGGCCATCCATTTAGTACGTACGCGTGGAGGGGCGAGTTAACCCAAATGCGTACTCTTGCGTATGGGGGGTCTACTGACAATGTACGTACACATAGGAAACGGAGGGGGGGGGGGGTTAATCCTCGATAATAATGTCTACATTGGTCTTCAAATGAGTTAGATAGTCCAGCGGTGGACTGTTTGCTTAAACACGTTAATATTATTCATCCTTGATCGTTTCTGCGTGGATTAAATATCGGCCGTTCTATAGGATTCGGTGGGGGGGGGGGGGGTGCATCAAGCATACGTACACAGGTGGGGGGGGGGGTGTAAAAAGTACGCGTGTGTGCAGGGAGGGTGGGAGAGGTCAAGTTGACAGATTTTTGCGTACGTACTAAATGGATGTCCCCATATTACTCTAACACACCAGTTACCAAACACCAACCCAATGTTCCAAATGAGATATTAACAACTCTGAAGAGCTCACGTGAAAAAACACATCCCAACCGGAATTCAGTGAAAAAAGTATTAATTTGTGAAACTTACAATATTTGTGAAGATCACTCTATTCCGACACAGTTATGTACTTCAAGTGGCTAGTTTATAAAACCTTGCAGTACTTGGCAGTCTGCTCCACACTAACCGATTGTTCTACAGAACGACCACTTTTCAATATTTATCACGGAAGTGAGACAAGACTTGAGGTCGCGTGATCCGACTGACTTGAGGCGAGTTTGAGAGTGGCAGGAGGTGGTGGTGGGGCTATGGACATGCTGACCTGAAAGGGCTTCTCGCCCGTGTGCACCAGCTGGTGCCGCTTGAGTTTGGAGCTCTCGACGAAGGCCTTGCCACACTCAGCGCACACGTGCACACGTGGACCGTGGGTGTGCAGGTGTTTACGCATCGCAGAGTTGTCACGGAACATCTTGTTGCATCCCTGGAGCATGTTCGCGCGCGGACACATACACACACGGGTACAACGTACGTACCCATGCAAAATCACAATTATGTATACTTACACGTACACTCACATAGATGCGTGCAGAGGTACACATATACAGGAATAAGAACACACATGTACGCATGTACAAGACAAACATCCCCCGAATAGCCTAACATAGTGTTGGAGCAAGTGCTGTTTGCGAGCACTTATGAAGGCCAGCATGGTAAACGAGGGGGTGGGTAGCCAACACCACGCCCGACAACCTTCGTCTCCTCAGTGGCGATGTTGTCACACCACACCAGATACTTATTTGAAGCCAAGTCGACCTAGATGAGGCCCAGGATCGGTTCAGATAATCGTAACTGGTGTCGGCCGTGACCGGGAATTGAACTCGGAGTCAGCTAGTTCGTCGCGCAGCGCGCGAACCACTGCGCTACCTCTGTACATGTAGGCATGAATACAAATACTGTCAGACACGTGAAGGAGCATGTACGTACACACAAGTATTGCGGCCCACTCACACATGCACAGATACACACACTGCTAGGTACATGTGAATGCCAATGAAGGTTAGGGATACTGCAGAGGATGAACCTATATATGGCAGTCTTTACATTTTCACCTACACCAGCTAGTTTTTCCGAATGCTATTTATTTTATCAGTATAAACTGAAATTTAACAAATGATTTAACACTAAGTACACACATACATACATTAGCAAATTCCCATGCACTCTCACACCAGCATGCAAACAGGTGCCAAATGAACACGCAGACATGTAAACACACAAACACTTGCACACATCTAGGAATATATCAAAGCATATAAGCGAAATATATGCAACACCACCAACCACCCCGACACCACCACAGCATTGTGGCATGCAAGGTACTCATGTACATGCCAAGTACACAACTGTTCGTTCGTTCAGGTGACGGGCAGCCTATATCCTTAATGAAATACAAATCCACAATGCACCAGGTACTTGTTTACAGGCCAAGTCAATCTCGTGGAGGGCCAGGCAAGGTTTAAACACCATTTGTCATTGGTGACCAAGTCGATGCATCTCTGCTGCAAAAACAAGAGGCGGGACTCGAATCCGATGGTGGAGCCGAGCATTCGGTAGAAATTCTGCATTCCCATGGTGAGAGCCAGGTTATCCGCAGGAAATCTGGTGTTGTGACTTCCCACCAAGTCGCATTAATTTCATTAGCCCTGGAGAGACCCGCAAGCGAGATATGAACTCGCAACGTTACAACTGTGGGTCAAGTACTCTAAAACAATAGTGTCATTGGGCCAGATACACGCATACAATGTGTATGAAAACATTCCCATTCTTGCTTATAGGCTATTTGGGCAAGCAGTACTCTTAGCGACTGCCTATTGAGCGGAGTGCGGCATGTGAGGCTGTGTTGAGGCCAGAACGATGAATGACAAACCACCTTCTTTGCCTTCCCCTTGGTAACAGTATTTCGTTTTAAATGGTCCTCTTTGCGTTGTACTTTCAGAAAAAAAGCCGCAACGCATCAACAAAATGTGCCGGCTACATGCACACACACACAACACTTAAGTAATCAATCACTTCATACAGTTAATAATTCATTTACCCATTTGGAAGCTTTTTAAAATTACATTGTATTTGTCTAGACACACCTAGATTGGTATTGATTTCCTAAATGCATTTTGTTATACAGTATATTTCTTATTCTTGGTTCTTTCGGTAAAGTCACGTAGAAGGGAAACAATAAAATAATAAAAATATTAAACAATAAAATTCTCACGACGTTTCGACTGCAACACAAGCAATCATCATCAGGTGTGAAACCCACAGCAAGAAAATTTGAAAAAAGTGGCGGTTTTTTTTTTTACGTTAGCACCACGGGGAGCGATTTGGCAGTTATTCAGTTGGACGAGTCCATCTATGTTCGGAAAAGAGGAGGGAGGAGACAAAAATAATGGATGCGGTCTGAAAGCCACCGTAAGCGTGAACAATCAATTAAGACCCGAAATTGTTTATCAAATCCTTCCAATGATTGCTAAACCAGAATCCATCTTCTCGGTTGAAATTGTCTCTGTGTTTGTATATGTGGATAGCCTCATGAACGAATCTCTTAATTGATTGTTCACGCTTACGGTGGCTTTCAGACCGCATCCATTATTTTTGTCTCCCCCCTCCTCTTTTCCAAACATAGATGGACTCGTCCATCTGAATAACTGCCAAATCGCTCTCCGTGGTGCTAACGTTTAAAAAAAACGCCACTTTTTTCAAATTTTCTTGCTGTGGTTTTCACACCTGATGATGATTGCTTGTGTTGCAGTCGAAACGTCGTGAGAATTTTATTGTTTTATATTTTTATTATTTTATTGTTTCCCTTCTACGTGACTTTACCGAAAGAACCAAGAATATGAATCCCTGCAGTCACGAAAGCTTTAAATCAAAAGTATATTTTTTATTATTTTCTTACCAATTATATCCCATTCGTATTATTGGTGTCAAGGCATGCAGAAGCAGCCCATCCATCTTTCCGCACAGCTTCACATCAAACCGGGGAATGACCCTGCTACCCTATGAAGCAATCCGTGGACAAGTCTGAAACTACATGGCAGCCGACACGGTACAGTGCAGGGGACTACAGCAGTCAAAGTAAAACATTGTGTAATGGGCAGCTACCCTGTGAACACTCAACTTTCAGTGTGTAATAACATAGTAAGAGGTAATTACTTTTATATTAAGCGATAAACGGTTGCAAAGACAATTAAAATGCTGCAAAAGTTTGCCATCATCAGCTTGGGTCCATGTGCAGCAGACAGTTGCTTTCAAAGCAAACAGACCACAGACAACAATGCAAAGCCTACACATCATATCACAGAGATGTTGAAGTAAAGTAAACTGAACAAGTTAATTTTAAAAACAGTATCATAAAAGTAACCAAATAATCAGATTAGACTACATTAGAAATACCAAACACAAGACTACTTCTAAATAACTTGAGTGATGATATTGTTTTAAAAATTTATTCAGCGACTGATCACTTTTCAAAAATGACAGTATTAGGGTCTCAATGGAATGCATAATGAAACAAATGTCTTGCTGCTCATGGTGCCATAATATAATGGATTATCTGCCGATCACTATCTCTCGAAAATCAAACGGACCAAAGTTGACCAAAATCAAAAGAGTTTTGCCGGTCCTGGCTTGATCACAACTTGGGCAAGGTTCTTGTCCCAATAGGAGACGCAAAATTAATGAAGACAGGCCATACTCAATCACGATCAGGTTGGCTGAAGTGAGCCATGCTTCAGAGTCAGTGAGTTCCCTTAACAATTGGATGTAGAGAGGGGGGGGTGTAAGGGGTACAGACCTTGTGTGGACAAGCAATCGTCCTTGGAGACTCCTCCTCCTTGGGTTTCCGGGGCTTCATTCTGGCGCAAGGGGAAACAGGCAAGGCATGGAGGCATGAAGGCAGGACATACAACATGCCCAACCTCCAATACCTCCACAACTGTATTCTAGGTAAGCATTTTCTAAGTTAAATTTCCCAAAAAAATATATGTACAATTAAATGGACTTGCTCCTCCCTACATTAATGACCTTCAGCCATATGCTGCATCAAGCTCATTAAGATCCTCAGATTGTGCACTGCTAACTGTCCCACGGTCTAGGCTTCAGACTTGCGGTGATCGTACCTTTGTAAATTGTGCCATCTAAACTCTGGAACTCTTTGCCCTTCAGGGCTTCCAAGACACTGCAAACCTTTCAAATCTCGACTAAAAACATATGTTTAAAATGGCTCTCGGTAGTTATTTTCAAAACGTCTTTTTGACTTCTTCTTTCCTTGGTTAATATTAACTTGTTCTGCCTTTTTATGCATAGCGCCCTGAGAATGATTGTTTAAGGGCACTTTGTACATATTCGTGGGTCTTTCGGTAAAGTCACGTAAATAACAAAACTAACAAATACCTATCCACGTGACTTTACCGAAAGACCCAAGAATATGAATTCCTGCAGTCACGAAAGCTTTAAGCCAAGCACTTTATACATTTAAATTATTATTAGATACGACTCTTTTCACAGAAGAACCTCACACAAAGTCCAATTGGATTCCTGCTCAAATGAATGGTTGATGGTGCTCATCAACTTTGGCGGCCATAAGCCCGTCATGGAAATTCCACATTCCTGTGGAGATGGCAAAATAACTCAAAGTGGTACGACATTTTACGGACTGTGTCGGTATGAGGGCCGAATTGACCCCCACTTGGATTTGAACTTACAAAATTCAGACTGAGCCAAGCACTCAAAGCAACAGAGCCACATGGACAGGTAAGGTGGCTGCCCAGATTAAAACCCTGTGCGTCCGGCACAACAGCCCTGTAACAGCCATTATGAACGCCTAAGGGAGAGACATCAAAGCCACACTATTGCAACAATATACCAAACATAAGCACGCTGTTAGAAAACACTACCAAAGTAATGAATAAGTGAACCAATGGACAAGTTACGAATGTTCGGTGTGGCGACGGCATGCACACGCGTGCACCTTGCAAACTCCGCTAGCTGTTTTGGGTCTGAGAGGTCGACGCCAGGGATTCCGCCGGGCGGAAGCTTCTTGCCCGTGATGTACTCCGAGTAATCGGGCAGCGGCGAGCCTCCCGACACCACCTCTTCCGCCAAGTCCTCCGCCTCCCCGTCTGATTTCTTGTCATCCGCTGAATAGGACCAGGAGGGTTAGGGGGTTGGAAAATTTAAAGCGTGGAGAAAACATATATCGCGAGAATCAAGGATAATTTCCAAGACACCTTAAATGAGAGCCGCAGCCATGATGAGACCAGGGACTCTCCTGGCAAGCGCACTCCTGTAAACTTGCGCTATTCTCATTTTGAGAAAACACTTTAAGACACGGCAGGGAAAGCATGATGAAAGTAGCACTGCAAGATGCCCCTGCAGTGGGAAATGCTGGCCAGGTGAGAAAATATTTGGCTTATCTGTCCTTTGCCAGGAGTTGAGATCCTCTAAATGTATGGCACCATCTTCTAGCCTTGCATTCAAAGGGTTGCAGCGCCTAAGGGTAACACAAGCCTGTGTTTGTGGCCCCTGTCCAAGGTAGAGTGTGTTTATATATTCCACACTCGGATCACTGTAGAATTTACAAAGTACTAGACCAAAAAACGAATCTGGCAACCAGAGACCGTGCCAAATGGTAATACATAAAATCGTGGAGGTGGTGATTTAATAGAGCTATGGGAGTTAGCTTTAAAACTCGACGACAAAAATTACAAGACGTAGAGATTACAATTGAACCTTAAACCGCCAGATGAATGGAACAAACGCAAGATGATAAATGGCTCCAAAACAGGCACTTGAGTGACACCCAAAGGTCGACGCAACCACGGGGAAGGCCTAGAACCAGACGGCAGTGCTGATGTAAGAGTAGATCTTGGTGCTCAGAAAATTGAACTTTTCCATTGCAGCAGGCACCCGTCTGTCTACAAAACCCATGACAACGGCCCACAAACATCAAAGTCATGGGTTCCTCGTTGCATAAGAGTGCGAGACACCGCACATATTTTGGCGAGATAATTAACATCATGGCATCATTTAGATAACACAAACAGGATATAATACACCAGAGGACATTAAGAAATTACTCAACTTTACTGCAATGGATGGGAGCTATAGATTGTATTGTAAACACCAATATGAAGTGAACAGCATAGATGTATGATCACGGCTGATGATTAATTATGTTTGCAAGTGTTTACTGGTCACGCAGTCCTCAACCTTGCTCTTTTTATAGGCATGTGACGGCTCACTACATTGTTGCAATTCAGGGTCATGATTTCATCAATAATGGATTATTTCTGGTCTCGTTTCCTTTGTGCTGGAGGTATTGCTGGTCTCGTCTGGATGCTGTTATGTCGTCTCATTTGCCTTGTCCATATTTTTAGCACAAGATTTTCTTTTTCACTCAGTTTCCCTCTTTGTACTGTCCATTCATGTTCCGTCTCATTTGCTCCAATAACCACGAATCCTGACAGGTTCCAAGACGCACAATTTGATGTGCGAATCCTATTTCACATCACACAATCGTTTCGCGTCTATTTCAAAGCTCGGTTACCCCAATTTTGATAAGGTCCTTAGGAGAAAGATCTCGCAGAGAACGGCTTGACGGCGTGAGAGATTGGTGCCAGAAAGATATCGCCGCTACCCGAACATACTGGCACAAGACGGAGGAAAGTGGAAACAAATGACGACGAAATGTGCAACGGACACCTACGGGCGATCTGCCCATGGATTGCGATGATGCATGTGATAATGGGTGTCGTCTATCCCTGAAAGCATCACCCGGTCTTGAGACTTTTACAAGAGGATCAGGCTCTGGTATGTTGGGACAAGTCCATTGATTGTATGGACACGATGTGAAAAGTTCGGCCCCCCTAACCTCTTGCTGTCCATGCCCTTCTAAATTTGCCCATTTAAACATCCGCGCACGCTTCGGTTGTAAACATTTCGGTGTACAAGTAGACTCATTATTAGGGGTGTCAAGATGGATAAATTTATCTACAGCGCGCATCAAATCGCGTGTTAATCGATGAACAATTATTGTGAATGTAGGTTAATCATGATGCCTGGAATCTCATAGCTCATTGGATTCCTCCAAGGATAAAAAAAGATTCCGATTCTAGATTTGAAGCTTTCGTGACTGCAAGGATTCATGCTCTGTTTTTTTTTCGGTAAAGTCACGTAGGTAAAATAAAATAAATGAAAACAACTAAATTAAATCACGACGTTTCGGAGGCAACACAAGCTTCCGTCTTCAGGTGGAAACCGTCACAGCAAAATCAGCTGTGTCAAGATTTTGCTTTGACTGTTCCACCTGAAGACGGAAGCTTGTGTTGCCTCCGAAACGTCGTGATTTAATTTAGCTGTTTTCATTTATTTTACCTACGTGACTTTACCGAAAAAAAACAAAGAGCAAGATTCCGATTGTAAATTGACCACAACGTTAACATTACTCGATTCTCGAGTAGAAGCTTGTACACAGCAATCCATCGAATCGCTGGGGTCAAAAACAAAATCATCCCTTACGAAGCGCTATGTACAACACAAACCGTGTGTTGTATGTGTGTACGGTATAAAATAGTGGCTCCCCGTCCATTCAATTGACACCCGCCACAGGGACGTGTGGAACGTCCACCCCACTTGTATTCGGGGCTGCCAAAAAAGATGATAACCAATCGTCAATCGTTGTCCATCATGAGCAGGGCGGGGAGAGGGGGCAACACTTTTGGGACTTTATATTTCTGGCACTTCTGTCAACTCCACGGTGGGGTTGGGTGCGGGCAATGCGTGACAGTGGCCAGCGGGTGGCGTGTGGTTGCCGAGTGGCCGCGTGTGACCAGCGAGAGGGCGGCAGTGTGTTAGCGAGGCCGTGTACAGACACAGAGAAAGGAGAAAGTGAAAGGCGGTAACCAACGACAGCGAGCGTACACGGTGGCTGCCCCCCCACGACTCTCACGCACGCCGGAATGCGTGAGACGTGGGCGAGCCAAGAACGCCAGCGAGAGATCGAGAGAGAGGAGCACTGCCATCGCCGGTTACACAAAAAAACTACGTACAAATACATCGCGTTGTGGAAAAGACGAGATCGAGGAAAAAAAACGTCCTTGAACGCTTTACGCAACCGCGCACTTGTGTTTTTTTTACGGTTTGCGGCGCCGTCTGCTGTACGAGACGGCACAATCCTCCTAAGCGCCACGACCCGCGCACAACAAAAACACCCCCCCCAGCCGCTCTCGCTCGCTCGCACACACTACACCACACACACACGCAAAAAAAAACCCCAAAATAAATTTGCGCGCGACGCGCCACGAAAACATCGCGGCTCGCCGCGGGCGCGAAAAATATAGCGATCCGTGAGGGGAAGGGTGCGTCGGGGCACGCTGCGAGCGGCGAAATCGTCGAACGAAGCGGCGGGCCTCCCGGGGGCCCGCGCCAAAACGCGGCGGCCATGACGGCGCCATCTTCCCCTCCGCCATTGAAGTGGGGGGGGGGGAAGATGGCGGCGCCCAGGGGCCACAGCGCAGCAGCGCGGACGAGCGAGAGAAGGAGTCGTCCCCTCCTCTCGCTCGTCCACGCCAAGAAACAATAAACCACTCGAAATTTACCGGGGAGAAGAAAAGAGAACGCATCGCATTCGAGGCGCGCAAAGCTTTCTCTATCCCCCCCGCCCGCAAGCTTTGCGCGCGCGATTCGCGAGGTAGAAATTGCCGAGAGCGAGCGAGTACTTGCTCGCCCGTCTCGCCGCGGCTTCGTCGTTGTGAGTTTATGTTGTTCGTCGCGAGCAGGCGGCTGCAGAGCTCGTTTGCTCTCTCGCTCTCATCGTCTAAAGTTCAAACGCGTTCCCATTCAATGGTCGCCGGGAAGGGGCGTTAGTGTGGCCGGCTTCTGACGTGAAAGTCCCATGCCGCCGTGGATCTTAAGATTCATTGCGTTTTGTGGAAACGATGTAAGCTCGACATCCGATGATGGGTGGTAATGGTTTGGCAAGACTCACGAGTTTAAATGATGCGTTTTGGAAAAAATAAGACCCAGTCTAGATCGAATATATCCCACAAAAAAAGCTTACTGCACATTTAAACTGTAATGTTTACAGTAAAACGTAAACAAAATGTACCCGCAAATAAGCATTTGACCACTCGACGTGTCAGGTCCTGCAGTCAAGAGTGGTGGCGAGACGTAAGGCATGAACGTTCTCAGTTATGCGTGATGTATTCACTTAAAATGGGAAACGACTGATATAAGTCAGACAACTCGAGCCGGCCAGACATGATGATGAACACCACATGGACCCGCCAGACAACACCACGCGAGGACTGTTGTTGATCGACTATGGTGGTGAGCACAGTCCACAACACTCGACAATAACAAGAGGTGAATGTGCGATGGTGACGGAAGAGGGTTATCGGTGTCGAGAAGTGACCGCATGGCGCTCACACTCCCCACAACACGGCAATGTTGTGGATGGAAAACCACGCGAAACTCACCCGAGGCCCACATCGTGACCGAGAATTCCCCTTCCAGGGTCTTGATCTGAACTTTCTTCTGCTCCCAACGGCGCGGTGGCCTCTCGGGCAGCACCTCCCCGGCCTCCAGCTGGTAACCCCGCCTGACCGAGCCACCTCCACCTCCTCCCCCCTTCTTTCCACCTCCCTTCTTGGACGGTCTCGCCCGGGCCGCCGCCAGCGCAGTGGACGGGACGGATGAGGTGGTGATGGTGGTGATGGTTGTGTTGGGCTGCATTGCGGCCAGAGATCTCTCAATGAGATCGTCATCGTCATCTTCGTCGTCCTCCTCCTCGTCGTCCTCTTCCTCCTCCTCCTCGTCGTCCTCCTCTTCCTCCTCCTCTTCGTCCACGGGTACGGGGATGAGGATGTGGTGCTGTTGGTGGTGGTCCTCGTAGGCCGACACGGTGAGGCCGCCGCCGCCGTCATCGTCGTCGCCCACGAGCTCCTCCCGCGTCTGCACCAGAATCACCTCCTGCTGCTGCAGGTGCAGGTGGTGCTCGTGCTGCTCTATGGGCTGCAGGGCGATCATGCCCGGCGAGTGGCCGTCCACCTCCATGAGCGCCGAGCCCAAAGCCTCCACGGCGATCGTCTCCACCTCGATCTCGTGCAGCTCCACAATATCGGCGGGCATCTCGCCGCCCTCCGTGATGTACAGCGCGTCGCTCGCCTCCATCTCCGCGAGCCCCGGGGCCGGGCCCTGCCTCCTCCTCCCTCCTCTCACTCTCTCCCGGCTCGTCCCGCTCAGCCGAGGGCTCCTACTGCTGCTGCTGGGTGACTCAAAGCCACTCGCCGCCCTCGCGTCTCCCGCCTTCTGCCTCTGCTGCTCGCACGGCCCCGCCTCCTTATCCTAGCCCCACCCCACTTTGTAGGCCCCGCCTCGTTTTCCGGTGACTCCGCCCACGTTCCGTTGTATACCGCCCACTCCCTCCGGCGCCTCTTCAATATCCCGTACACTTTCGTCAATAAAACTGTGCGGCCCTGAAACAGAAATAAATATATGCAGTATAATTGTCGACGTTTCGGGCAGAGCCCCCCTCCCTGCTTCACAACAGAGAGACTCGCGGCGTCTCCAAATCTTACCCACTCCCCAACTCCTATCCACTGTTGCCTCTTTGCCCTCTTTGTTATGATGTGAAGGACTATTGCCCGAAACGTCGCCTTGTTTATATTATTTTCAAAGCCGCAACGCTTTCTTGACAATTTTGTTGCCTTTCGTTCAATGAGTGCCCCCCCCCACCCTTATAACTCCACCCACTCCTACGGTAACCCCGCCCCTTATGTTGTAGCCCCGCCCGTTTGGATTGCGGTGCCGCCCCTGCCGCTTAGCCCCGCCCCTCCGACTGTAGCCCCGCCTCTCTGGTTTGTAGCCCCGCCTCGTTTGTCTTATAGCCCCGCCCTTTTCCGCTGCGGCCCCACCCCTGTTGTAATCCCGCCTCTTCAGTCCGCCGGAGGAAGTCCCCCCCCACCCTTATAGCTCCACCCCCTTCCACTGTAGCCCCGCCTCTCCCGGTGTAGCCTCGCCCGTTTGGTTTATGGCCCCGCCCCTCCCGCTGTATCCCCGCCCCCTCCCTCTGATTGTAACTCCGCCCCATTCGCCTTATATCCCCCGCCCTCTTCCACTTAGGCCCCGCCCCTGTCTGTTGTAACCCCGCCTCTTCTGTCCACCGGAACGAAGTCCCCCCCCCCCAACGGTACCGATTCAAACGAACCGAACGACTCCTTGAGGTTATCACGAGTCAGGGCTCACGATTGCAAAATAAAATACAGACCGCTGGTAACTTGTTTTCTTTGTATCTTGCCTCGTTTGTTTTGTTCCCTCCATTCGACTAGCCCCCCCCCCCCCCGCAGCGTTTCCTCGCAATGTCCCCCCTTACCAATCGCGGGCGGAATCAATTGTTTTGTACACGCGCCCACAATGTCCACGTTCACGTGGCGTGAGCGTAAGAATAGCTGACGGTGCACTGTGACGGATGTACATTTTCAGGGGTTTAAGTACCAGTACCCCGCCAAGTGACTCTGATGTCACCACGGCGCCTGTGCCAGGCTAGGTGCACGTCGAGGCCACGTGAAGTGTCGAAGGCTCTGCTGGCAGAAGGTCACGGGGCAGACCAAGGTGGTGCCATGCGTTGACTGCCTGAGATGACTGGCAGATGCACACCATCTGTGTACCCACTACTATGCCAACTCGCTGCGTTTTATCCGCCCGGCGCTCCGCTCGTTGTTGTGAGCGTCGCTCCTCTGCCCTCCGCTGTTGTTGCTGGAGGGCGACTGTCTCTGTCTCTAGCAGCAGCAGCAGCGGCGGCGTCCTTCACGATACCGGACTGAGTCTCCCACCATCCCGTAGTTGCGATTCCTGCCCGTGTCCCGAGTCGGGGGGTGATTTGCTGTTGCCGTTTGAATGGAGAGAAATCTCATCGCGGACTCGCCGCAACGCTTCGTGCATCATCGTGAGGGCCACGGTGGCTAGGGGATGTTAACTACCTCGCTAGGTACGCAGGAGGTCGTGGGTTCGATCCCGACCCTGGCGAAGCCTGCTGCTGCTGTATATTTGGAGTTTGCGGTGTGTCTCATCATCATCAGAGTGGCTGGGAGATGTTAACTACCTCGCCAGGTACGCAGGAGGTCGTGGGTTCGATCCCGACCCTGGCGAAGCCTGCTGCTGCTGTATATTTGGAGTTTGCGGTGTGTCTCATCATCATCAGAGTGGCTGGGAGATGTTAACTACCTCGCTAGGTACGCAGGAGGTCGTGGGTTCGATCCCGACCCTGGCGAAGCCTGCTGCTGCTGCTGTATACTTGGAGTTTGCGGTGTGTCTCATCATCATCAGAGTGGCTAGGAGATGTTAACTACCTCGCCTGATACGCAGGAGGTCGTGGGTTCGATCCCGACCCTGGCGAAGCCTGCTGCTGCTGTATATTTGGAGTTTGCGGTGTGTCTCATCATCATCAGAGTGGCTAGGAGATGTTAACTACCTCGCCTGGTACGCAGGAGGTCGTGGGTTCGATCCCGACCCTGGCGAAGCCTGCTGCTGCTGTATATTTGTAGTTTGCGGTGTCTCTCTCCACGTGTTCGCGTGGATTTTTCTCCGTGTCCTCCGGTTTTCCCCTCTCCACATTTAGAATCAACGTGACGCATTTCGACTATTTGACTGCTGCTATAAACGTCCACGCGATGACAAGCCACTTCTCTTGGGCTATCATTTGTGATGACCAGGTCGCTTCTGAAAAAAAATAAAAGAGCTACCTCGCTCAGTGGGCCCTGGACCTGTTAAAAAAATAAAATAAATAGTTTAAAAACTTCGAGCAATCGTGACAATCCCAGCCCAGCCACCGATTTGCATGAGTCGCGTTCACTACTCGGAGTCACGCTCCGAACGTCTTCGAGCGGCACACGTGACTGCAGGTGAACCAACATAACACGTGGAGCTCCGCTGCGTCTCGTGAACAGGGTGAACGCAGCCTCCTCCGTGGCAGTTGTAACGTTCTTACCCGCCCCTACTGGACGTGCGTGGTTAAAGAGCTTTATAGCTCTTTGGATTCCCCCTCCAAGATGAATGAATATTCTGATTCTGAGATTGCCCGGTCTCCTCGCCTCTTCTCAACCCCCTGCCCGCCCCGATCCAACTTCAATGATCCGCCGCTTCGGCTGTGGTGCGAATCGTGAGCCCGGCATACTCATCAATGAGCCTGTGTGGCCTGGGAAGCAATATGAATAGGCGACGTTTCGGACAACGACCCTTCATTATTACGACATTACTTTTGTTGTTGTTTACGTGGCTATGAAGGGCCCATTATCACCAGTAAATGTTTATCCTCTTCACTCACAGAGCTCGCCGCTGCATCCACTCCCGTTCCTCACCCCTCGCTCTTCTCCCTCGCCCAACAACTCTGTAACGATATTCTTGGTTCTTTCGGTAAAGTCACGTAAATAGAAAACAAAAAAGGGGGAGACGGGGGAGTGAGGGGCAGAGGGGGGAGGGGAAGGGTGGGTGGAGGGCGAATGGGGGAGAGGTGGGGGGAGGGGAGTGGGGGGAGGGAGGGAGGGAGTGGGAGGGGAGTGGGGGGAGGGCGAATGGGGGGAGAGAGGGGAGTCGAGGGAGGGGATTGGGGCGGGAAGGGGAGTGGGGGGGAGAGGTGGGGGGAGGGGAGTGGGGGGAGGGAGGGAGTGGGAGGGGAGAGGTGGGGGGAGGGGAGTGGGGGGAGGGAGGGAGTGGGAGGGGAGAGGTGGGGGGAGGGGAGAGGGAGGAGGGGGGGAGGAGGGAAGGGGAGTCGAGGGAGGGGAGTCGAGGGAGGGGAGTGGGGGGAGGGAGGGGAGAGGGGGGAGGGAAGGGGAGTGGGGGGAGGGGAGTGGGGGGAGGGAGGGAGTGGGAGGGGAGAGGTGGGGGGAGGGGAGAGGGAGGAGGGGGGGAGGAGGGAAGGGGAGTCGAGGGAGGGGAGTCGAGGGAGGGGAGTGGGGGGAGGGAGGGGAGAGGGGGAGGGAAGGGGAGTGGGGGAGGGGAGTGGGGGGAGGGAGGGAAGAGGGGGGAGGGGAGTCGAGGGAGGGGAGTGGGGGGAGGGAAGGGGAGTGGGGGGAGGGGAGTCGAGGGAGGGGAGTGGGGGGAGGGAAGGGGAGTGGGGGGAGGGGAGTCGAGGGAGGGGAGTCGGGGGAGGGAGAGAAGAGGGGGGAGGGAAGGGGAGTGGGGGGAGGGGAGTCGAGGGAGGGGAGTCGAGGGAGGGGAGTCGGGGGAGTGGGGGGAGGGAAGGGGAGTGGGGGGAGGGAAGGGGAGTGGGGGGAGGGGAGTCGAGGGAGGGGAAAGGGGGGAGGGAGGGGGGGGTTATCGGGCGGCAGTGTGGAGCAGTGTGGAGCAGGGATAACACCCGTGCCTCGCAATAAGAAACCTGGCTTCGATTCACGACTCGGGCGCCTGTGTGGAGTGTGTTTGATCCTTCCACTGTTCCACAGAGCGAGTGGAATGCTCGATTGTGTGTGAGTGGAGTATGTCCTTCCCCTGTTCTGCACGGTTTTCCTCGGGGTTCGCCGGATTCCTCTCATAGCTACCCCCCCCCCCCAACAAAGTAACCGGTATTGGCCAAAACATCCCAATGTCTGAAAAGTAACCCTTGCCAACAACTCAAGTTGGATTACACAGAGCAACGTCGCCCCATGTGTAACGTTCTGACCAGCTCATCCTGGACATCTGTGAAAAAGAGCTTCATAGCTCATCGGATTCCCTCCAGTATAAATAAATATTCTGATGTTGATACGACTAACACTTTGCAGGACTGTCCTGGAAAAAAAAAGCGTCTTGCTACTCAAGCGAGACTTTCACGTGTAAACAAGCGGAATTACAACGCGATTGATCATATAACCTTACACCTTGGCATCATCGTCATCTTCGCTGCCAGCTGCCGAATGGCAAGCAACGAGAGCTTAATCCGCCAACACTTTCAACTGCGCCGTTACATCATCGCCAGTCCCAGTCGAGCATGGACCCCAAACCCATCATCAACCCTACTTCCCCGCTGGGTGGACAAATGTAGTGTCATTCTGTGAGGCTTCAACAGTGGCTGTCCTACAGCCACGTCGACTTCTGCCATGGGAGTGGAGGGTTTCCACCGTTCCGCTGACAGCCACCATTGGAATGAAGCTACACCCGCGGCGCCTTGGTTTGGGGAGCACACTTCTTCTGTTTGGTTGAGCATTCGGCAATGACAATCGCCCAGAATTGCTCCTCGCCTCGTCACATCTCGGAAGCTAAAGCAGGAAACCTGCATAATCCTTGGATTGGGGGGAGTGACTACCGTGGTTAAAATGAACTTGAAATGAACTTGAAATTTGAGACAGATGCCATCCAGAC